GGAAGTGCACATTTATTGTAGTGTCATTAAGACCGGTTTTCTCGCGTCGTGCGTCATATCTATTTCCGAAAGTCAACTGGATCCCGTAAGATCAAGTAGATCCGTAGGATACAATGAATTTAGACAGATAAAGTATATATAAAGGGAGATAATTAAATTCAATATGGTTATACTTTCCCCTACGTGGGATCAGTTAAGATACAAGTGTGCAGATAAATTGTTATAGAATGAGAGAATATATACACACATACCACCACATCGATATGCCAGTCCAATTAAGGCACAGCGCCTAGCAGAACAGCCACGAAAGCATAGCCACTGCTCATCCACAATCACAAAAATGATGGTTTCAGAACAGCTTTATATACAGTCATAAACTGCACTACACGTTGAAACAGGCTCAACATTCGCATATATAGAGTTTGTTCTCTGTAATCATGTCTCTCAAAACAACGATAACATTTTTATTGTCTTCTTCACTGATTGGGACCAGATAACGTTATATCTATTTCCGAAAGTCAACTGGATCATAAATATGAAATTCTGTTACATTCAATATCTTGATAAATATTTGATCCTCATAAATGAATGGATTTCTTTCATATTTCGACACAATAACCATTTTAACAAGACATTCAATTACGCATATTAAAGGTTAGGGTCTAAAAATATTACACTCGTAATTTCTGTTAACTTGATGGATTTCTTTCAAACTTGTACACAATAATCTTTCGTTCAAGACGTTCAATTCTTCCGACCTATGTGTGAACTTGACCTCTGGCTGGCCTGGAATCTTTAAGATATGAAAACTTTAAAGTATGTCATAATATTATCCTCCGCCGATTAAAATGGGAGGGGAGATTGTCGGACCTTTTAACATAGAGTTATGGCCCCTGAATTATTATGGTTCTGTATATTTTTGCGTTACTTCTCGGCAACTGCTGACTGGGTTTTAAGGAAACGTTTTTGGAACTGTTGTTGTCGTTGTTAATAATAACTAGCATTCGTCAGTTGATAGAAATTTACCGATTTTCTTTGTTTTCTTATTTCTGGACGCATTTCTTAAATATTTGTGCAGAATAACCCATTTATATCCTCAAAAGAAGGGCATATATGATTGAATTCCCCAAATCACCCTCCATCCGTCCTTCCCTGGCTTTCAGTCTGCAAACTTTAATATTGGCTACAACTTCCGTATGAACGGATGGATATAGTTGAAGAAGACGCCGCGACATATATCAATTGACCATGACCTTACAATGACCTGACCTGGAAAGTTATTAATATGGAAACATAATGGTAGTCGTAATGTCATCCTTCGGGGTAACATGTCGTCTTTAAGTGTAAGCTCTTGTTGACTTCTACCTGGTATGTTAGTAACTGAAACTTAAATCGAGCCCGATAGATGCCGTGGTTCTGTTAGTTTATATGTCGGCAATACGACATATATTAACGCGACATGTTACTTCCTGTTGTGGAATAAATTATGGCGTTTTGAACATCTGTGCATGAGCATTACGATATAATTCTTGTCAACATAACATTACTTCTTCTAAATATCTTTTCATGTGTCTTTAAGATGGATGGGGTGAGTTGGGGTAGGGTCGTGGGGTTGAATTCCTTCCACTTTATAGTCGTGGCCGTTCTGATGATATTTAGGATTTATAGCCCGGACAATTCAAATTTTATCTAAAAACCCTCACTTGTATGTATGAAAAATACGTACAGATACGTCTCGTATTTTCTGTGAAAATTTCGTTTATACTTAGGTGTTTACAAAATAAGGCTTGAGAATTTCACAGCACCTTTTGTGCCAAATTCGTACGAACTTGTCACACACGTGTGAGGAATTCGAGCGAATTTTTCACACGTGTAACGAATTCGTTTTTGTGAATATTGAGGTTCAACAAAGCTGCTTTCAGGCCCAGGTCAAATGTCAGCCCTTTCCGTTCAGAAATAGAGAAACACAAAGCCAACATCTTTTGTGAATGAACTATCCCCTATAATTATTATAATACCTTTTTTGCTCGGCTGTTCAATGGTCAGGGTTATATTAAACATTTAAAGTCAATTTCTGCTAAAAAAAAGAACAAAAAAGAAAAAACGAGATAACTTTTTTGCCCACATTTTTTAAACTGCATAGGATGATAAAGCATTTTCGTCCAATTACTAGATAGCCATTTCACAGCATTGAAAGATTTTTTTCACTGAGTAAATGACTTATGACAACAAACGTCAAAGTCAAATAATTATTTTACACTGTACCAAGAACCGTTTTGGGTCAATTAAGGACATGACTATTTTACCAAACGCTTTTAAATTTTGATCGCAATCAATGAGTAAAACAGACCCATATATTAAACGGTCATGGTCCAGCACGGTTCAAGGAAAACTATTTCTTCTAAATCATAATAAGCAAATAATCGGCCATTGGCGTATAAACTTCATATAATTGGCAACCACGTTAAATCAAGTAACTGTTTATTATTTTTAAATTAATTAGGGGTGTAACAATACGGCAAAAACCGTATTGCAATATATTGCCATTTTGCCAAAGTGTATTGCAATATATTGCAATATGTATTGTCGTGTATATGTTTTGATGTAAAGATGGAGTTACAATATATATTACCATTATTATTATCATTATTATTATTATTATTATTATTATTATTATTTGTATATATTCTTAGTAGAAACTTAATAAAAATGTAAGGAATAAATAGAAAGTGAAGTGTCACACAATTTGATAAACAAAACTAGTCGGGCGTGACCTTTCACACCTGGGCCGCTTATGTAAATTATGCGGCCGCTTTGACTTTAAAGTGTTGGATATTTTTATCTTACGTTGACGCCAATAAAATTCACCAATAAAAGATTTTAAGCGAAATTTGTTCGAAATTAGAAGACGATTAATTGAAAATTATGAGTTATATAAAATACCGGTTTTCCAAAAAATCGCACCGCGGTACGAAATTTATTTTTACATATTGCAATATATCGGTATACCGATAAACCGTTACATCCTATTCCGTTTATTGGCTTTGGTATTATTTTAATGTCAGCGTCACAATGGCTTTGCAGCAAAACTTGCGTTTTCGCTCAATAGAAAACCACCTGAACTTCTTTTAAAACTTCTTAGGTGTATATATCTTTTTATGACAATTTGGTTATTAATGTACTGCCATAATTAGTGTAAATACGGAATCGATTTCGCTTTAAGCTTAATTGGTAATGATATGATGACAATAAAAAGGAGTTAACATTTTTTCACTACACATGACGTTATCTTTGAACCATTAAAGGTGATTGAAACTCTGTCTTGTTATCCCCCGCCGAAAAGGCGGCGGGGGATATAGAAATAGTCTCCGTCCGTCCGTCCGTCCGTCCGACCTTCCGTCCGTCCGTCCGTCCTTCCGTCCGACATTTTTGTCCGGAGCATATCTCTAAAAGTATTTGAGTAATCAACTTGAAACTTCATAGGTGGATAGACCTCATTGAGGAGGAGTGCAGTGCACAAGAATGATAACTCTACCCTGCATAATTTTTGAGTTATTGCCCTTTGTTATTTTTCAAAATTGATTTTTGTCCAGAGCATAACTCCAAAAGCCTATGAGATATCAACATGAAACTTCATAGGTGCATAGATCTCACTCAGGAGGTGTGCAGTGCACAAGAATGATAACTCTACCTTTCATAATTTTTGAGTTATTGCCCTTTGTTATTTTTCATACTTAATTTTTCACCTGAGTGGAGCATAACTCAAAAAGTGTTTGACATATCAACATGAAATGTCATAGGTGGGTAAATCTTATTGAGGAGGAATGTTGTGCACAAGAATGGTAACTCTTCCTTATACATTTTATTGAGTTATTGCCCTTTGTTCTTTTTCATGCTATTTTGTCCAGAGCTTACCTCAAAAAGTATTTGAGGTATCAACTTGAAACTTCATAGGTGGATGGATCTCATTGAGGAGGAGTGCAGTGCACAAGAATGATAACTCTACCCTGCATAATTTTTCAGTTAATGCCCTTTGTTATTTTTCAAAATTAATTTTTGTCCAGAGCATAACACAAAAAGCCTTTGAGATATCAAAATGAAACTTCATAGGTGCATAGATCTCACTCAGGAGGTGTGCAGTGCACAAGAATGATAACTCTACCTTTCATAATTTTAGAGTTATTGCCCTTTGTTATTTTTCATACCTAATTTTTCACCCGAGTGGAGCATAACTCACAAGTGTTTGAGATGTCAACATGAAATGTCATAGGTGGATAGATTTTATTGAGGAGGAATGCTGTGCACAAGAATGATAACTCTTCCCTGTACAATTTTTGAGTTATTGCCCTTTGTTCTTTTTCATACTATTTTGTCCGGAGCTTATCTCAAAAAGTATTTGAGATATCAACTTGAAACTTCATAGGTGGATGGATCTCATTGAGAAAGAGTGCAGTGCACAAGAATGATAACTCTACCCTGCATAATTGTTTAGTTATTGCCCTTTTTTATTTTTCAAAATTAATTTTTGTCTAGAGCATAACTCAAAAGGCCTTTGAGATATCATTATGAAAGTTCATAGGTGCATAGATCTAACTCAGGAGGAGTGCAGTGCACAAGAATGATAACTCTACCTTTTATAATTTTTGAGTTATTGCCCTTTGTTATTTTTCATACTTAATTTTTCAATTCAATTTTTTTCTCAAAAAGTATTGAGGTATCAACTTGAAACTTCATAGGTGGATAGATTTTACTGAGGAGGGATGCAGCACACAAGAATGATAACCTACCCTGCATTATTTTTCAGTTATTGCCCTTTGTTATTTTCAGCCATCAGTATTCACATAGGTTTCAAATCTGTAATCACTATAGCCATCAGTTTTCATTACCAAAAGACCTCTTAAAATGGAATCATTCTGCTGTACTACATATACATTCTTCCAATGAGCAAACACATTCGGCGGGGGATGGCCATGTTGACATGGCTCTTGTTTAAATTATAGAACAAATACAAGAGTGATTTTTCAACAATATGTAGCGTATTGTTTTGCGCTATACAAGGCAGAGACGGTTCAGCAATTACCAAAATTCCATGGTATGGTACCACATGTGGAAATGGCAAGGTACGATTTAACTTAATGATTAAAAATAATATCATGCTAAACAAGCTTATCTTTTCTTAAATTGCTTAATCTAAAATTGTAATTATGCCATAATAAGTAATCATCATTTATCAATTAAAATAATTGCATCACTCAGAAATATATTGACTCTGTGCATTTATCCTTAGATGTGTCAATTAGGGCACTGCGTCGAATCTCCCCTAGCACCAACAGTCGCTGATGGTAAGTGAAGCTTCAATGTAAAATATTTACGATTTTCAAATTCAATCATCGTCAGTATAAATTGTTATATAATTTTGTACCGTTTCACAAATTGAGTTCCCATAAATAGTAAAATATCATAGAGAATTAACACTCATAATTATTTTAACATACCCTTATAAATATCTACTGTGAAAACAAACATGTGCGTAACTGCCTTTCAAACAGGACAAAAACCATAATCCGTTTTGTAATCATCTACCTACTTTATACCTGTAAGCAACTACACATTCAAGTTTTACAATACGTTATTTAAGGAATGCTATATTCCAATTTCCCAAACAGTGATTTAATCGCTGAATAAAATTACTGTTTGGAGTTCGGATGCGAGGAATTATATCACGAGGGAGTAGCTCGGGCAATGTAATGATGCGCATCCGAACATTACCGATTTGTATATACTATTTCGATTCTAACACGATATCATCACATAAAAATGCTGCCGTACCGGATATTTAGCCTAATTACGGCTTATTTGTTTCCTTACTTTATTTTCAGCGCGTCAAATATTTTAGTGCTTACGTCACGTGTATAATGCTTACGTCACATGTCTTAATATAGAAGGTCAAACAATGACTTTATTTAAAAAATAATAAATATCCAAAACAGTGATTTTATCGCTCAATAAAATCACTGTTTGGAGTTCGGATGCGAGGAAGTATATAAAATGTTGCGCATCCTAACGACAAACAGTGATTTTATCAAACAATAAAATCACCGATTAGAATATTTTATTTCGGTTCTAACACGACATCAACAAGCCGTAACTGATATTACCTTATATTGCGCCTGATTTGTTTTCATACTTATCTTCAGGGCGTCATATTTTAGTGGTTACGTCATGTATAATGATTACGTCACATGTCTTAATATAGAATGCCAAACTGAGATTTTACTGCATAATAACACACCGTCGGCTCCTCTATGTTCAATCGGGGAAATGCGGGTCGTGTTAATATACATAAAAACACACACTTTCGATTCTTCTTTGTTGGGAAAATACGGGTCGTGTTAGAGTAAAGTATGTATATGTTAGTGATCATTCGTGCTATTCTACACACATTTGAAAGTTCAACGGGAGCGATAGCGATAATCTCTGTAGAACAGCTACGGATGCATACTATCACACTTAGTGCCAAGCTTTATTTTGCTTCATAAATATTCGCTTTATTACGTCACCACTTTTGTACACACGTGGTTCTATGAAGTACTGTGACAAATAGAAGGCGACTATGAACAGAATTTCTTAAATTTTCGACTTTTGTTCTTATATGAAAATTAACACAGATTTTTTTATTTTTGTTCTTATATTTATACAATGTCCTTAACAGTGAAGTAGGTACCATATTGTTGACAAACGTACATGTATATCTCAAACTATTAAATTAAAACATTTGTTGAGCAGAAGCGTGTCCATTTGGAGATACCCCTGACATTGTCCCGCACAAAACATCTGGTTGTTCCGATGTTCTTGGATCTCCTGCAACAACTTACAATTGTTACCATGAAGCGATCAGGAAACACTGCTGTGGTACTTGTGAAGCTATAAAGAAAACTAACAGGGCGTATGTAGGTATGTTTTTGCTATGATTTACTCAATAAATAACGCATTTTTTAGCTCGACTATACGAAGGATATGGAGAGCTGTCCTAATCGCGACCGCTTCCAGATTTCAGATTAAAGTCTTGGTGCAGTAAAATATTTTTCAATATTTCTTTTTCATTTCTTAAGGTATCAACTTCAAACTTCAAATATATGTTCCTTATCACCAACCAAATCTTGTGTGACACGGTTCAAATCTGTAGCTACAATATTTTCAGATTTTTCTCCCCTTGAACTTAGAATTTTCCATAAAAAATACTATTTTTTACTGTTATTTCTTTATTTCCCCCTTAAGGGATCAACTTCATACTTCAAATGTATGTACATTAATATCAACCACAACTGATGTGACAAAGTTCATAACTCTAGACTATTTTCAGATTTAACTCCCTTAAACTTTGAATTTATGTTAACAAATGTTATTTTTTTACTATAGATCTAATTAAATACTTAATCATACATAATTGAGTTTTCTTTTATAGTTTTGTCTTCCTTACTGGGTCCAGTATTTTGTTAGTGGAGCTTCGCTGTCTCCAGTCACAGCTCTTGTTGCTAAGGATATCATGTTTTGTGCTTTTTTAATGCTTAAATGGTATAGTCTGTCATTTTCACAGGCCGATTTTTATGGATTTTGTGAAGTGACAAAAAGTGTACGTGACGTGCATTTCCATGTGTTACAAGGAACCGGACAAAATGTGTGTTATACCACCACCCATCTTAACTTCTCAAGAGTTTAAAAATTATATATATATATTTATTACATGCTTTTCGGTGGTTTATAGAAATATATCAGTGATATAAAACTGGTAATTTCACTGTTTGAAACAGTGAAATTACCACTTTGATAATTTCACTGTTTTGAATTTAAGCCCCTTACCTTGTTTCAGTGAAATACAAGCGTGCACAGTACTGGGTACCAACTTAATGACGTGACGTCGTAAATGACGTCACGTTGTATTATTATTTGGCGCGCTTTTCATTCAGTATTAGGTTTAATGTCTTTTGAAAACGTTTCTTTGCATATAATAAAAAGAAAATTTGTTTAGTTTAGTGTAAGATCGAAATATATTTCATCTTGTGAACACCAAAAGTTCATATTTCACTCGTGGCTGCGCCACTCGTGAAATATACCTTTTGGTGCTCACTCGGTGAAATATATTCCGATCTTACACTGAACTAAACAAATATCCTCTATATATATATATATATATATATATATATATATATATATATATATATATATATATATATATATATATATATATATATATATATATATATATGTAACCTAAAAAAAATAGATAGTAATTGTTAGCTATCAATTATTCAATGGACGCATCAGTGTCATATGGACCCTAGTCATAGATCTTGCCGGTGTTGCTATTACAGATGTTAATGTAAATATTTATATAATTATTGATAATCATTGTTATTTCCGTCTTTTTGAATGTTTTGTTTCAACAAATTTGATTAAGGTATTAGCACCCTAATGCATCACCTCCGCTTTGAAGAGTATTCAAATAGGCTAGAACTACTGTTAAATACATTGAAAATGAGGGCCATGGGTTCAATCCCCAGAAGGGTCAACTTTTTTTTTCTTTCTTTTTTTCTTTTAACATTACTTATGTATCCCTCATGTCCCATTTGGAAAGAAAAAAGTGTTTAATTTTGATTTTTTAATTTATATAGGTATTTATTGGCTAAATTATGCTAAATATAGTAATAAATATGGGACCTGATATTTTCAAAGTGTAATATAATCAAAACTAGACGGTAAAAGTTTTTCATATTTTACAAGATCAACCAATATACTTTTTAAAAAAATTAGGGAAACTTTGAAAACAGGCACTCATTTGGGTAAATTTTAAAATTTTTTTAAATTAGACTCCCTAAGTAGAATCAAAGTGCTGCAGCACTGAATGCGACGGACATGCAACCGGAAAGACATTAATTAAGGCTTCTTTTAGAAAAAAAACCAAAACAAAAACAAAACACAAAATATATAACAGAGAAAATTTGTTCCATACAAGTTCGAGATTAGTAGAGCAATATATTTTGTGTCCCAAATTGATATAATTCAGATTTTCTACTTTCAAGCACTTAAATACAGAATGAAATTTATGCCTAAAAACTCTGGTCAAACTTGTAAATCAGTGTCCTTATCGATTTATTCTAAGAAATGATATGTAAATAGAAAAAAAAACTATCAACGAAATATTTCTAGAATAAATCCAGGCAAATAAACTTCAAACATAATACATTATACATTTGAGAATGCTATTTAGAATTGCTTCGTGTTATATCATAGTGGGCATACAGACAATAAAATATAAGTCATTTGTATTTTATTTCTCTTGGATATGTCTCATTAAAAAAAAATTGGTTAAAATCATCAGCAATTAATAGTGTATTTCTTAGATTTTTTTTATTTACAAGGTAAAGATGTAGAGGCCAGAGCACATCGTTTTTATTTTAATTTAAATGTCACTTAAGCACTACAGTGTTTAGTTGTCCTTTTCAACTTCACACTAAATTCCATTTTCAACTTGTTTGCTTCTTACAATTGTATAGCATTTCTAAAAGTATTGCATTACAATCCGCTGGTTTATTAATTACATGTTTAATGTGTACTTCCTATAATCGCCTGTCCAAAAAATCAGAACAGGTGAAGCAGAATCTATTTTTAGAATAGCGAAGGTTTAACTCATATCATGACCTAGTAAAATATGTAAACAAACCACAAGAATCGGAAGTAGAACTGATATTATAACTTCCTTACCATGAAAGACTACATGGCGGTAAAGTGTCTTACATGCATTTTCAAAAATAGATATTTATACTAGCCATTGTACTGTATCTAATATATTAATAACTGCTGAATATTCAGCTAAACCCGCGGTATGAGTCACGAAAATAGTTCTTCTTTTATTAATGCGCGAGTTATCCTAGAGTCACGAAAAACTTTTGATTTGTTAATAATAATGTTTTGTATAATGTAGAAATATTTATTTCCTACTAATAATGTCTTGGAACTCAGAGGTTACACCTTTATTGAAGTATAATTTGCTGTCCTACTTTTTCGACAGCGGTAAATCGTTTCAGCAGTAATTTGCATATTGCGCAATAATACTACGGGACTACAACGTTTTTATCAATAATAAACGTTAATATTTTAACTTGGATAACTTAATTTGAAATTGAAAAGGCTAAATATGGAAGACATTAAGATATCCAGACAAAGTATGCCACGAAATCCCATGAGTTTTGAAGGGCGCTCCGTCGCAAAATGGTCAGACACGTGGTAAAAATGGGTGGGGTAGGGTAACATTTTTATACAGATTTCATAAATTTTAAGTAGAAACCATAATTTTGCTTATTTGGATTGTTAGCTGAATGGTACTATTTGTTTCTTACCAAAAAATAATGGGAAAACATTTTTTCATTAGAATGTTATTGCAGATTATTTAAAGGTTCCTACTTTCTAAAAAAGGGCCGTCATAACATCCTAGCTTGAGTTCAGAAAAGTGGCCATAACATGATTTCCGCACGGTAAACTTTGTTTAAATTTTGCATACAGGTGTACTTTAAGGTATACATCTGACTTATGATGTCAATATTTAGTTCCTGATAGTGCCCATTAGGGTCCTAATACCTTAATGGCTTGTAAAATCATGTATCTGTTTACTATTTTCTACTTTGTTTACTCCACATGGCGTCCATTCTCGTTCTTTATTGGCGACTAAAGGCTATTTTGGGCCTTTTTGATAAATAGAGAATAATAAGTAATGCAACTAAATAACAATACTATCAGGTTTACACGGAAAAGTGACGATGAAAGTGCTTATAGTTTAATAAGCATAAAATGTCAACGTCATGTTAATGCACGTGATAATTAGATTCATGATTTTAATACCGATACATGCGCATAGTACTTAAATTGTGATTTCGTTTATCAAACTCTATAGAAATTTATTATACGGCAATTCCAGAAAAAATATATGCCTAGTAAAAGTCTCTAAGAACCTATTCGTCACATTCACGAGTATCAGTGTTTGTCAGTTACTCGCGTTAAAGTGTAACCTTTTCCGTAGCATATAAAAGTTTTGTTTTTTTTTAACTCTTTCTCTCACTGAGGGCACATATATTTCTTATCAATTTCGCCATTGTGAAATAGAATAAAACACATTTTACTACATAGGATAAGATGAGCAATACTTTAACCATCTTCAAAACGAAACCAAAATATTATTTTTCTACGTGATTTGACGTGCAGTAAGTGTTTTTTTTTAATGAACAATTAGTTTTTTTTTCACAATCTCTCTTTTAAAGATCAACAATGAAAATCTAAATTGTAGAAAGAGAACGGTAGGCATGTTGCTTCGCATTTGCAACAGATTCTAAAATCTGCTTTAAACTGTAGTCCTTTTTTTCGATTTGGAACTGGTGCAAGAATTGACAATTGAAGAAAAATGTAAGATTTACATGTATGTCATTCATAATAAAAATATGAACATATTAAGGTAGAATTTGCCTTCCGTACTCCCGGTTGATGTAAACCTGACTTATAAATCATGGCGTAGACCAGGTTACTCCAGAAAGCGAAATAGCTTGCAACGGAAGCCCGCTCTAATACAAGCAACTTCCATGGTTATGCAAAGTGTTTGATAAAACGGCTTATAAACTGACGAAGATCCAATATTCTCTATTTATTCATGAATAAAATAGAGAAAATACGCGATGACCTGAAACCATTTGATAAATTCGAGCCAAATACTAGAAACGTTCCATCTCTTCTTGCCTTTGATGAATTTTCAAATGATAATGTTAAAGAGCTGATAAATGAACTACAGACAAAATCTTGTGAATTGGACATATTACCGACAGCAATATTGAAACTATTCCTTGGAGAACTACTCCCAATTATAACAAAACTGGTAAACTTATCACTACAGCAAGGAATATTTCCAAATA